GTTTACCCCTCCCCCTACCCCCTCCCCTGGACCTGGACGGGGGGGGCCGCGGGTAGTTAGAGCGTCCAAGATGGCCCAAGACGGCTCCAAGAGCGCCTCAGAGAACCCAAGATGAGCTCCAAGATGGCTCAAGATAGCGCAAGATCGCTCACGATGGCTCCTAAGATGGTTCCAAGAAGCCCAAAGACGGCCCCAAGATAACTCCAAGTGGCCAAACAGCTCCCCAAGGAGGCCCCGAAGAGGCCAAAATCGTCCCAAAACCTAAGGAAAATCAATGATTTTTGCTTTCTCGCCTTTTCGCTTCCGATGGCCATCCGAGGCCTGGAGATGGCTCCAAGATGGCCCAAGAGGGCCCCAAGAGAGCCCCAAAAGAGCCCCAAGACGGCCCCAAGAGCGCCCAAGAGCACTCCAAGAGCGTTCCAAGAGGGGTCCAAGAGGCGATTTTAGGGGCTTCCGAGGGGGGGCGCTAATTAAACCCCCCCTCTTGTTTGATCGACTCCCTCCAAGATGGCCCCAAAAGCGCCCCGAAGGCTCCCCAGAGCGCCTCAAGAGGGTCCCAAGAGGCGCCCAAGATGCCCCAAGGCGCCCAAAAAGCCCTCCAAGAGGCCCTCAAAAGACCCCCAAGAAGCTCCTTCCCCTCCTCCTCCTCCTCCTCCGATTCTTCCTCCTTCTCCGTCCTCCTCCTCCTCCTCCTCCTCCTCCTCTTCCCCCTCCTCCTCCTCCTCCTCCGACGACGACGACGACGACGACGACGACTCCTCTTCCATCCTCCCCCTCTCGGGGTCTGTGACAGCTTCCCCCGCCCTTTGTTATTCTGCATGCTCCCCGACTTCCCTGATCACCTCAACTCCCCTGAGCATCGTTTCTGGATGGGCTGGTGGGGATACGCGAAGCGTCAACAATTCAAGTCGAGCTGGAGCCGAACTGGAGCCGAACTAGATTCGAACTTGAGTCCAAACGATCTGTAGGTGTTAGGCCAACAACTCCTGGGAGGTCTTCGTAAGAACGATGGTGGGGTATCACGCTAGCGAGGAACCCCACACAGGTAGTTGATACATTGTGTATGTTGCGGATGGGATCAGGGTACCACCCCCTGGCAACCCCGCCTGCTGTCGAGCGGGAAGAGTGCGGGCTGGAGTGGGAAGGATGGGGAGGAATGGCGAGACATGGACCAACCCCTGCGCCCTCTCTTGTCGAGGAAATGACACGCCTGCCACGCCTTGCGAGCTTGTCAGGGATAGAGGCCGCGCTCAGGAACTACCCCCTGCGCACCCCATCTGATGATGAAAGTGCCACGCCTGCCACGATTTGCGAGCGTTTAACGGATAGAGGCCACGTTCCAGGACCAACCCCTGCGCGTCCCCTCTAGTGTCGAGTGAGTGCCACGCCCGCCACGCTTTGCGAGCGTGCGACAGATAGCGCCCCCCACCCCCTGCGCATCCCCCCTGGTGTCGAGCAAGTGCCACGCCTGCGACGCTTCGCGAGCGTGCGACGGACAGCGACCCAACCCCCTGTCCCCTGCCACGCAACCCAAAGTCTCCAACAAGGCTACGTCCAAATGGAGCCGCGGCTTGAAAGTTAAGGCCCCTAACTACCGTCGTGGCTACGAGGTCATCTCAGGTGACCTCCCCCCGTTGACACTATTTTTGAGCTCAGACAGGAACCTGAAGAGGAGCCAGCAGGACAACAGGCCCGCCACCCTAGCCAGGGTGCTTGTCACGTTACTTCCTTCTCGTCTTCTCTGCCCCCCTCTTCCTCACCCTCTGGGGCTGGGCGCGGCGGAGCCGCTTCGGCATCTGCAGTCTTCCATGGCGGAGCCAGGGGGTCAGCTACTGGCCGACGAGGCTAGCTCGGCGTAAATTCACCCCGAAGCGAGAGTCAAACGCCACGTTTGCCACGCTTTGGGCAATGGCAAGCAAAGGGCACCCAACCCCTGCGCGGCCCTTCTGTGAGCGACGGTGTCTATGTGTATATCTGTATATATATATAGATATAAGGGGGGTAAGATGGAAGTGAGGTCCGACTTTCTGTGCATGTGTATGCGTCTGCCTGTAAGAGGGAAGCAACATGGAAACGCGGTGAGACTCGGGTCGAACCGCGGGAGAGGCGGGAGGGCAGGTGGGAGATGGAATAAGTGGGTTCGACGCAAGTGGGACGAAACTCCACACTCCATGTAGCACGTGGAGAATGAAGTCCGAACGAAATGACATTACGCCAAGACGCTGGCCCAAGATCAAGCCAAACACCGCTGGATGAAACCAATCCGAGCGGCGTAATGCTACCTCGATGACGCATCTTTACGGTCCCACCAGCCCGACCCGAACCGCCCGTCAGGGTCCGCCCGCCTGGAGAAGCGAGCCCCGGGGAAACGAGCCCCAACGAACCGAGTCGCGCGAACCGAGCTCGGGGATCTTCTGACCCGGTCAATCGAGACCAGGGTCAGCAGGAAACCAAACAACTGCAATGCAGGACAACAAAAACTGCAACGCAGGTCTTCGCAAACCCGCGTCCGCCAAGATGCGCGGCCGCCTCGCGGCCACGACCGGCTCGCTCACCCGGGTCAGCCAGAGGGGGCCTGCAGGATCTGGTGCCCTGGCTGACCCCCGATTGCATTGACCCCCGTCTCTTGAGCCCCGGCGAGCTCTGGCGAGACGAGCCCCGGCGAACCGAGTCGCGCGAACCGAGCTCTGGCGAACCGAGCCCCGGCGAACTGAGCTGGGCGCACCGAGCCCCGGCGAAGCATGCCCCGGCGAACCGAGCCCCAGCGCGCCAAGCTTCGGCGAACCGAGCCCCGGCGAAGCGGGTCTCCGTCGAAACGAGTCCGCGCCGACGAAGCGGGTCTGTGCTGCATCGGGCCGATCCTCGACTACGGATGATGCCGGCGCCGAATCTGAAGCTGACCTCCCAGGAGCTGCATCCTACCAGACCGAGCTGGACTCGAAGTGGAGTCGAAGCGTTCTGTTGAGTGGGATCCCGGGCGGGCCTCAGGACGAGGGGAAGTGGGACACACAAATAAATACACACAAATAAAAATATCCCCCATATTTTCACATATTTTCTGGGTTTCTGTCTTCCCCCCCACTGCCCATATTTTCCCATATTTTCTGGGGAATCGACGATTAATTGTGTCTGTGTGTTTCTCTCCCTCCTGACTCAGGACGAAACCCGCACGAAACGCGACCTCGTTCGGCCCACGCCCCTCGAGCGCAGCCAGCGGGCGCCCCCACCCTGGGCCCAGCGCAGCGCACCCCGCTTGGCCAGCTCGGCGGCGGAGCGGCGTGCACGGGGCGGGGAGGGCCAAGAGTGAAGGGGCCCCAGGACACACAAATAAATACACACAAATAAAAAGATTCCCCATATTTTCGCATATTTTCTGGGTTTCTGTCTTCCCCCCCACCTCCCATGTTTTCCGAGGAATCGAGGATTAATTGTGTCTGTGTGTTTTTTCCTCTCCTGAAAGATCGCGTGCCTGCTCTGCTGAGAGCAGATCTGGGCACAAAGACGTGCGCTGGAGGCCGCGCGAGTGAATCCGGAGTGAGTCGGTGGGGTCGAATCGAAGGGTCGCACCGCTTCGCCGATGCATCGGCGACTTGGGGATGGAGATGTAGAGGGCTCCAGGCCGCGCTGCACCGCAGATGCACCGAGAGAGAAAGGAATAAGCAAGTGCAGGAGGTCTCCGGAGGTATCCGAGGGTCCCCACGGGTTGGCGAGGGCGAGGAAGGATGCGAGGTTTTGCGGGCTCGTGCCGCCACGACTTGCGCGTGGGTCTCTGGCACCGGGTGGCTTGTTCCAGCGTGACGGAGGCTTTCCGCCAGGGCAGATCGTTGCGAGTCGGGAGCATCCGGGCCACTGGCGGTGTCGAACCTGGAACGCCCGTGCTGGGACTGCCGCCGCGTCGACGCGACGCGAATCTACCGCACCTGCACGGCAATGCGGGGGCGGGGGCGCGGAGGGGGGGGGGTGCGCGCCGCGAGGTGTGCAGAGCAGTACCTTTAGCGCAAGCGGCGACATGGGGGCGCTGCGTCAAGGCGCTCGCAGGGCACCTTCTGGTGTTGGCAGAGGTGCCCCCAGGATTCCTGGGGAGGCCCGGATGACCTACAGGGAACCCCTCGCGAGCTTGCGAGGCTCAGAGGACCCCCAGGGGCTCCCAGATGGAGCTGGGGACACCTTGGGCGACTCTTTCCCCAGGACTGTCTTCTCCCTCTGAGCCGTTCTGTTGGAGGAGGAGGAATCGGAGGCGGAGGAGGGCGGTCAGGGTGCCCAGCGAGGGCCCCCCAGAGGCCGAGCATGGCGAACGAAGCAAGACTTAGTCTTCCTTTTGCTTCAAGACGGTGGAGGTCTGGGTGCCAGACGCCCGCCGGAGCTCGGCCTGGGCCCAGGCCTGCTTCACTGCGCTCTCTCAGGTCTTCGGGAGTCCCATCGGCCCTTCTGGGCGCAGGTAGTCCAGGGAGTCTCCTCTTCCAACCCCCTGCTTCTTCCCCTTCGGGACGGGGCTTAGTGTACCCCTCCTCCCTGCCCCCTCCCCTGGCCCTTTTCTTTCTGTTCTCTCAGGTATTTGGAGATTTCTGCTACAGGGCGCTGCTCGGCCCTGTTTCTTGTGCGTGCTTCTGAGGGCCCGCCCTTGTCGCCACGGCTGAATACCCGCCGAGAGGCTCTGGCCAAAACGCACCCTCTACGACGGGTCCAGAGATCGATTCTACAAAATAGGTTGGGGCCCCGCCTCCTTCGGCTGCGCAACCGAGGGGGCCGAGGCCGCCTACATCGAGTAACAACAAACTGCATGACCATAACCTCTCGGAGGTCCGCGCGGATTGCATGGATCCGCGCTGGGCCACCATCCCTGGCGCGGGGAGCGCGCCGGGGGCCGTGCCGTGGGCGCCGCCAGGGGGGTCAAGCACAGATCCATGACATCTGCACGGAGATTCGACAGATTATGTGTATGCTGTTTTCCCCTCGTCTTCGTCTTCGGCAAAAAGCAGGCAGGGCGGAGCGGGAGAGGACCTCCTCGTCGTCCTGGTCGCCGCGCAGCGCGTCGAACAGCAGCTGGTCCCCGACCCGAGCGCCGTCTGGCACCTGCGCGCGTCCGCGGAGGCCCGCGCCTTTCGGCCACGACTGGACGAGGAGGAACCCAGCTCGACGACGGAGGATTACAGTTACCCATCGGGTGGAATGAGTACAGTCGGACTTGATTGGAGAGGGCACGCGAGAGGACACAAGACCCTTCCGAGGGCCACGCTGCCACAGAAATACAGGAGACATGGGTCGCAAGACACAAGACTCGAGGGTACCCTTGATCTGCCGCCTCTAGGTAGAAACATGAAGTAGGAAGGCGGACAAAGTAGCTTGGGTTCAGGATCTCCCAGAGAAGAGCAACACACAGCAAAAGCACATCGACTCTTGAAGTAGGAAGGCGCTCGAAGTATATTGAGATCCGAAACCCCCCAAAAACCTACTTTCAACGAACGGCGTGTATCGATTATCGTGCCACTAAAAGAAACGCTGGATGAAGGGGCGAACAACATTGCGGGCCACGTCGAGCCTCGGCCACGAACAGGGTTCCCCAACCTCACCCGCGACATCCAGAGCCCCTCCTGAGCGAAAAGTGGTCCTCACTTCGGCGTCTTGACTGTAAGACGGAGGCAACGAAGGATAATTTCGATTGGGGATGCATAAGGGGGTCTCTGAGCGCCAGCGGGTCTGGAGGATACATCGGGCGGCGCGGCACTTCCAGATGAAACACTCTGGGCCGCTCTGGGAATCTTCCGGGAAGCCTTGGAGCGATTCGTCCAAATCTGGGACGCCGTGGAGCGATGCTCTTATCTTCAGCCCGGGCCTGCCCGAAGGATGCTGTAGGTGGATGGTTGGAGGGGGAACGTCAGTCCTTGGTGCAAAGGACGCCTCACGCTCCCGCCGGAGCGCTCAGACATGGAATGAGACGCCGTGCATGCAATGAGATGGCAGTGAGCTTGCTGAAAGCAAATAGGCAAGCAATGCGCTCAGTGATAATCAATTGTTTGTATGGCATGTGGCTGACATGTTTTGTTTGGCTGCTGGTAGTCCTCGGCCTATACGGGCCTCCAGAGGCGTCCAGAGGTGGACGACGGCGAGGACGGCCCGCCACCATCCGTCCTCCCTTCACCATTCTCCCAGTGTCCCTCATCCTCCAGCTCCTCGTTCAGCTCCTCGTTCAGCTCCTCGTTCTCGTCGTCGTCGTCGTCGTCGTCGTCGTCGTCCTCGTCCTCCCCCTCCTCCTCCTCTTCCTCCTCCTCCTCCTCCTCCCTCCTCCGCCTCCGCCTCCTCTTCCTCCTCCTCCTCCACCCCCTCCTCCTCTTCGATCTTCCTCGTCCTCCCTCGTAAAGGTCGTGTCTTTCTTGGTCTTCTTCTGTCCTCCTGATTCTACTCTTCGTCCTTCTCGTCCTCGTCCTCCTCTCCCCCTCCTTCTCCTCCGCCTCCCCCTCCTCCTCCGCCTCCTCCTCCTCCTTCATGTCGCGTTCCTTCTCGTCCCCCGTCCGCTCCCCCCCTGCAGGACGAGGAGGGGGATTGGATCGAAGAGTAGAAGACGAAAACGATGATGAATAAGATTGGCATGATGATGAGGAGACGGATCGGAATGGCGAGGAACACATCGGAAAACGCACCATCTTCTTCCGCCCCCTCCCCTTCAGTGCCATCGCGGCGTCGAGCAAGGACTGCGAAGCATGGACAGGGCGCCTTTGGAAAATTCTGTCTCTACATGTCACGTGCGACTCTTTTTCGGAATCGTGAGCGTTTGATCAGGCATCTGGCGACCAGCAGCTTAGGATGCCCATGTCTTGCCTTGCAGAAGCCTGGGCACGTGCATCGTGCAGACCGGCCGCAGCTCGATCAGCCCGACAGGGTTGATCACCGCAAGCTTCGCGGCAGGGGCGGCATGGTGGATTATTGGAGGCCGCCTGAAGTGGGGTCCGAGTAGATGGGGTCGAAGAGTCGCGGCGCATCGCAGATACATGGGAGGACATGTGACTTCAAGTAGTTTGTTTGTTATTTGCAAAATGTGTGCAGTGCATCTCTGTGGGGTAAGAGAAGGACAACTGAAGAGAAGAAGCTGAGGGGGAGCAAGCTCCTTGCTGATTCGCTGGCGCCCATGTGATGCAGTCTCAGCAGCATTTTGCTTGGCAGCGCATGCGTGTGCAGTGAGCGTGCACCTCGCGACGGCCACCTGGGCCCATGCCCGACGAATGGGGGCTGAGGATCCCCGAGCGCGCTGCATTCACCAGACGGCGTCTTGAAACTGCACTGCAAAAATGCCTGAGGGTCCGTCTTCAAACCATCGACGCCAGGTGGTTTCTGGCCATGCATCGGGCCTCTGGCGGCCTCTCGGGACGATCAAGACCCCCCCCCCGAAAAACTTTCGACGAGGCGCAACTGATGGGACCCCCCGCGGGGATTATAGAGGCCTCCTAGACTGGGTCGGAGTAGATCGGGTCGGAGGATCGCGCAGCATCGGCGATACATCGGCAATGCATCGGCGACGCACCGGCGATGCGGCACGATCCTCCAACCCCATATACTCCGACCCCATCTATGAGGCATGGATATTAGAAACCTTCGAAAACGTAGGACACCGAGAACGCAAGACAACGCCAGAAAGTCTCAGAGCCGAAACAGCCCCCCCATCCTCCTCCTTCTCCTCCTCCTCCTCCTCCTCTTCCTCCTCCTCCCCCTCCTCCTCTTCCTCCTCCTCCTCCTCCTCCTCTTCAGTTACGTCGACAGGTAACAACTACAGCGCCTCTGAGCGCTGTGATTGCTTCCTGTAGCGTCTCATCTATTGTTATTGCTGGTCGGACTTTCTTGCTCCTGTCTCTGTCTTATCCTTCTCCTACCCGGCGCAGGGCGCCTGCACCATCAGGGCCGGGGGGAAGACGTCGAACAGGTCGCCTGGCAGCTTCCCCTCGGGGACCAGGACCTCCAACACCTCGGGCCGAGAGCACCGGGAGGAGGGGGACTGCCAGGGGCAAGGTGGAGGGGGGGGGATAGGCTCGGGGGGGAGGTTCGAGGCTCGAGATTTTCGAGCGTCTTCTTCGGTTCTCGGCGGTCATCCAGCCTCGGGATGCCTTCCCGCGGCTGCGCCTCGCCGAGAGCGTTCTGGGGGTGCCCAGATCGTCCTGGTTCTGACCCGGAAACAGCACGATCCGGGGGCAACGTTCGGCGGGATAGGCTCCGATCCCCGCTCGTCCATTGTTCCCCGATAAGAGGCCCGGCAGCCCAGCCCGCGCAAGGGCGCGCGGATTCGCCGTCGGCGGCCTATCGCCGATCCATCGGCGATGTGTCGCCGCTTCCAGGCAGGTCTTCCCCTCCCGGAGCTGGACCCCCCACCACGTGGCCAGCCAAGCCGATACCGCCATCCTTCACCTGTTTTCGCCTCTGGGGCCTCCCGGGAGGCCCGCGTCGCCAAGGCTAGGCTCGCCTCGGAAATTCTGTTCAGGATGCACCCTGGGAGAGGTCCGAGGAGGTAGCGGCATCGGTGTCCCTCGGCTTCCCCAGGGAAACTGGGCAGGAGGGAGGGGGGATGGATGGGCAGGAGGAGGGAGGGGAGATGGGAAAGAGGGGAGTCGGGGAGGAGAGAAGAATGGGGGATGGCAAGCGAAGCGCGCTCGCGCTATCTCCGGCATCCTACCATTCCCATCCATCCCTTCCCACTGCGCAGATTGTAATTTGAATCCTTGGGTGCGAACCTAAAGGACCTTGAACCTCAAAATGACTCAATGGTGTGATGAGCGATCAAAGGGGGAGGCTTGGGGCACTTGAGGTGGCGGATTAGCAGGATGATGAGCAGAAGGAGGAGAAGTATGAGGATGAGGAAGGAGCAAGATCAACAGCAGAAAGAGCAAAGAGAAGGACATGTAGGATGAGCAGGAGGATCAGCGGAAGGCGGAATAATAGCGAGAAGGGGGCGGAAATGACGAGAAATACATCGGACACATAAATGCGGTCCGCGCTGGGCTGAGAGTGACATTCAGAATTACTTAACGAAACACCAATCATGAAATGCGGCTCGCGCTGCAACAAGAACACCTGTTTTGGACGGACTGGTCGCATTCCGATGGAAACCACATCGTAAACATCAAATGATGACGTCCTGTGCGAACAAACGGAAAGGAGCAAACCCGCACAGGGGAGGGTGGGTACCAGTACTCATATGATGCCATTGTGAACATGGGAAGGAGGGATGGGAGAGAGGGGAAGGATTAAGACTGGCGCGCTCGCGCAATATCTGACATCATACCCCTCCCTCACATCCCTCACTATGGAATTGAAACCCCCATTACTTGCAGCGACGACAGTCGACGCCGACATGGATCAAGAAAAGGCAACTTTGTCTAGGAGGGCCCCACATATCAAGGTATCGTCCTTTGACATCCAAGGCCCTGCTACCGTATCGGCGCTACCGGAACCAGCAACACTAACCGGGCACAACTGCCCGTACCGTGGCCACCATGAAGATGGGAGGGACATGGAGGAGCCCGAGGGGGGGGCTGGCAGGGGGCGGAGGAGGGAAGGAGACAGCAGAGGTCGGACGGAGGACGGCGACGACGAAGGCAGGGAATCCTGCTGCATTGTGGCAAACGCTGCAACAAGAGCCACGCTTTTGCTGCTTCCTCCCCCCCTTCCTCCCCAGACCCCATGGCGCCGTGTCTCTCTTCGCGTCGCGGGCCCCCGAAGTCCCGAACCTCCCGTCCTCCAGGACAGGCTCTCTGTGCCGTCTCTCACTTGTGTGGACCGTCCCGGAGCCCAGCGAGGGCCCCCCGGGATGCTGAAAATAGCTGCCCCAAGACCGCCCGTCGGGAGTTGGTTCTCGGGGGCGCGCAAACATGGATCCATGGATCGGGGCAAGTGCCCTCCCCAGAATGCGGCCGGTGCCGCCTCGCTCGGCGGCGGAAATGCGCGGTTTCCCGTGGAAACGGGAAACCGCCGCTAATCCACCCCCCCTTGATCCATGTTTGCGATCGCATGGGACTCGTTTCACAACGCGATGGGCTCTGGGTCCTCTGCCTCATCCTCCCCCTGGCCCCGTCCCCTTACCCCCCCCCTCCCAGCAGAGCCCAGAATCAAACCGATAAGTCGAATCGGCCATCGAAATTCGCCGGATCGGCGGAGATCGGCAGCCAAGTCGGGAGAAGTCGCATCGGCGGAACTCGGCAGGCGAGTGGCCCTGCGTTGAGGCATCGATGTGCAAATCGGAATCCGAAGTCGAATCGGAATCGGAGGCCATCGAAATCGAATCGAGCCGAGTCGGAGGAATCGAAACGAGCCCTGCCCTCCTGGCTCAAGAGGCCCAGGCCCCGTGCCCCGTGCCATGCGCGTCCTCCGCTGCCCGGGCCCCCGGCGCCGCGCTCGTGTTTCCCCCTCCGCAAGCGGCAAGACACACGGGCGAACCGAATCCCACCGTCCCTCTGGGCGTAGGGTAGACCCATGCCAAGAAGCACCCTGGTTGCCTCCAGGGTGCCCTTGGGTTTCTTGGGTTTCGATGGTCTTGCGATGGAGAGCGTGACGTCCCCGCGCCAAAACTCAGTGGACGTCCTGGGGTCGCAGGGTTGGGTTTCTTGTGGAAGGTTCCTTGTGGTCGAGCCCCTGACTGTAGGTGGTTTAACGGATGTCGTCTGTTCTCTGCCAAAAGCAATCCTCCCCCTGCTCGGGGAGAGGTTGGAAGGGCGGGTGCGAGTGAGCCAGACGGCTTGATTTCTAGGAGGAAGTCTTGATCACTGTTCCCTATTGGTATACACCCCCTCCTCCAGGCGGCCAGCAGCCAAGCAGGAACAATGAGGACCCCATGAGCCCCCCCCCCTGTTAAAAACAATACAGAATACAGTTTGGGGCAAAGTCTGGAGTCATGTCCGTGATGCCCGCGAGTACTTTGTATTTTGTTTGACATGGACGGCGGGGGGCTTCAGCATACTGCATGCTGCGCGCAAGGGTACCATCCCTGACAAAAAACCATACAACAAAATGCACCTCGCGGTTAAATGTGGATCATGCGCGGCCACCCCGCGATCACTGTCAAATGGTGGCGTATGGCCTGCTGTGCCCAGGCCCACCAGACACAATGATGGGCATTGATTTTCGATATGGAGGGGGGCCGATATGTTGCCCGATGTGTGCTGTCACGTGCGGAGGCGCACTTGACACACTCAGCACGTGCCCCGAGTATGCGGCACAGCTGGCGCACGCAGAGGCACGTGGCGCATCTGGCGCACCAGGCGTGCCTGGCACGCTCGGGCCCCAAGGGTGCCTGGCGCGCGTTGTGCGCCTGACACGCGTGGCGCACCTGGCCCCAGCGTGGCGCACATGGGCTCGGTTTTGGTTCCCAGTAGCTGTGCATCCAAGGACGACCGCTGAACATGCTGAGGCTTGGTGTTACTTATGTGTTGGGAGGGCGGGTGGGAGTGAGCTAGACGGCTTGCTATCTAGGAGGGTGTCTTGACCCCTCCCCCTATCCCCTCCCCTGGGCCAGGAAGGGGGAGCGTGGACGGAGGGGTTAGATCGGGCCGGGCAAAAGGAGGGGATAGCAAAGGGGGGGGTGAGAATCAGCTTATGTAGCCGATTTACCCGGCGCCTTCTGGCGCCCATGTATCGAGGAATGGGCCGGGCGGCGGGGCCGAAACCAGCTGCATGCAGCAGATTCGGAACTCCCCCTTTCCTTATCCCCCCCTTTCGTTCGGCCCGATTAGAGCGTCAATAATTTCTCAATGCGGTGGTCGCCTGGGGACGAAACAGCCTGGCCCGGGGGCTGAAGCAGAAGACCACGGCGCAGGAGGCTCACGTCTGGAGGCGACATTAGGGGCGCAGAGCCCAGGGGGGAGCCATGCATGTATCCAAGCGGGCTCAGAATCCATGTCCTCGGCGACGTTCTCTAACGAATACGTGTAATGCCCCCCCCTCCCCCCGCTGGGCTGTTCGCCCCTAGTGTCGCCGCCGACGCGCCTGGCCAGCCGCTGGCCCCAGCATGCCCGCAACTTGGCGGGCGGGCCTTGCCCTCCTCGTCCACAAAGCCAACCTTGTCGCCCGGGCCGACGCCTCCCGATCCACGCGGCCCGCCGTGGCTGCCCGCTCTGCGCGCTTGAGGAGGAGTGAGGCTCGGAGGATGAAGAGCCAGCGTGGGGAACGGATACGGTTGGGGCGCTGGCCTAAGGAACCCCGGCTAAGGACCGAGGCCCCTCGTCTCTCCAAGTGAAGCTTCAACTCCTCATCGAAAGCTTAAGGAACACCTGAGGCAACCTGCAAAGCAATCAGGGAGCACCGAGCCCCTCCCCAACGAGAGCAGCCCCTTCGTCAGCGCCCCAGCTGTAAGGGGCACGAGGAGGCAGCAGATCGGCGGCGCGCCCGGGGCGAAGTGAGAGGGAGGATCCGTAGCGCAGAGGGCGGCGGGGCTTCTCAGACGCCTTCTGGCCCGTCTGAGAAGCCTGCCGTGTCTCTAAGGGAAGGCTTTGAAGAACTTCTCAGAACGCTCGGGGCCTTCCGAGCCTTCTGAGAGGGCCCGCCCCGTCTCACTTCCCCCCCGTGCGCGCCGCCGCGTAGAGCAGGATGAGGAAGAGAAGGGTGATGAGGGGCTGCAACAGGCGGACGATGAGGTAGGCGCACAAGACCAGGCGGGGAGGACAGGGTACGAGCGGGTGGGCAACGCCGCCGCGGACTTGTTGGCATGATATGCCGCAGTCTTAGTGCATCCCACCATCTTGGCTGGATTGCTGTGTACGCGGGCGGTTCTCGCAGGGCGCCCTGTTTGAGCGAGAGCTGCTAGAGCTGCTGTGCAAGCGTTCAATGTTGACGAGCCTGCTTCTACAACGTCGGCGGGCCGCATAACGATTTCGCCCCGGTGTTCTCGCTCGTGTGCAGTCCTCCTCCTCATCCTCTCCCCAGTTCAACAACTGCGAAGGTATGGTGGTCCTGCTTCTCATGAAACAGATCCATCAGTACGCCTGTTTGCGACATATCTTTACGTAAGCTATTGACGCAGTGGATCGGCTGTCGCTGCAATGCCCAAGGCCAGCTCCAGCGCAGCCCCGCCACGCACAGCTTGCTTTGACAACCAGGCGCATCGTCTCACTCCTTATCCTCCTTGTCCTCCTCATCCCTGAGGTCCTCCTCCTTCCCCATTCCCCGCCTCCCCCCTCACCTTCCACCTCATCACCTCCTGTTCCCCATCCTCCTCCTCATCCTTGAGGCCCTCCTCCTTTTCCTCTTTCTCCTCCCCCCCCCCTTCCCCCCTCCCCCTCCTCCTCGTCCTCGTCATCCTCATTGTCCTCGTGGTCCTCCTCCCCTCCTCGTTTTCCACTTCCACCCCCTCCTCCTCCTCCTTCTCCTCCTCCCCCTCTTCCTCTTCCTTCTTCTCCTCTTCCTCCTCCTCTCGTGGCGCAGCCCGGGTGGCGCCCTTCGGGACGGTCAGCTGGAACGCGGCCTCCGGCCCCAAACGCACGGCTGACTCCTGCTGGCGGGGGAGGAGGGGGGGGCCGCCGAGGCGCAGGCATCGGCCTGGCTAGGGCCGGCCGCCCTGGCACTGGGGGCCCGACACATGCAGCAGTGCGAAGGCCTCCACCTGAGCAGAGTGAGAGCAGAAATCGGTTCCGCTGGCGTCCAACTGCGACAAAATGGCGCCTCTTCGAACCGATCTGCCCCGCGCCCGGGGAACAAAACTGACGGGTACACTGCGTTTCCCTTTCCCCCCAGCGCAGACTTTTGGGAGAAGGAAGGCCAGAGGGAGGGGACGATCGCGCAAAACCATCACGTAAACGACTGCTGCGTCCCTAATCCGGCACCCACAGGCGGCTCGAAACTGACAGCCACCGATGGAGGAGAGGAGGAGGCGGGAGGCGGAGGAAGAGGAAACGAGAACGGACCAGGCGCTTTGCGTGTGCATGATTCCCTACATGATCCCAGCGGCCATTCATACAATGAGGCCTCGCACGTCGACTCACGACAAGAATACGCAAAATGCATACCAAGTTGAAACCCATGCGCCTTCTTGACTAATAGAACACATCCCCAAATTACTATTAAGCCAGAGGCTTAACCGGGAACGGGCGAGGAGGAGGACGGGCGCGAGGGAGGAAAACGAGAGGGAGGAGGAATGAAGACTGATAACCTCATCTTAACTGGATTGAAGCGCCCAGCAGGCCCGCGAACACGAATGGCAAATCATATTGTGCTAAACCAGGATGCGAAGCACGCGTCAGTCAAAAAGAAACAAGATGAAAAAGCTAGGGCGGCCATGCGAGAGCCAAACCCCGCCTAGAGCACTGTGCAAGCCTAAGGCGGACCCAAGAAAACCGGGCAGGCGGCCTACAGGGTCGGACTGTGCCGAGCGAGGAAGCGGCCTCGACCCGCATGCAAGCGGTGCCAACGCACGGGGACTCCGACGGGTTTCCGACGGGTTTCCGACGGGTTTTCCGACGGGTTTGTTGGATGGATGCGCGAAGGCGTCCACGCCCGCCTGAAAGGACCTCACACTCCTGCGAGACCACAGGCGAAAAGCGCACTCGTGCTCAAGCAGCAATCTTCTTCGCCGAAGACGGCGAGCCCGTTGTGCCGCTGGATACTTTCACCCGTCGTCCCTTTTAGGCTTGCCCCTCTCAGCACAGACACAGGGAACATCTCGGTCCGACTGCGACCGCTGCACCCTGCTGAACCAGAGGTTCATGGTAGCATCGAGAGTCCGAGCGCGCGAGGCGAGCCACATCGAGAGCACTGGCAGCACGATAAGAAACGATAAAACCGCCAGCGCGAGGCTGGCGTGGTCGACGGTCGCGATGACAAGCATCATGGAGACGGCGTCAGGGGCCAGAGCGAGTGCGGCCTCTGATCGGTCACCAGGCAGCGCGGACAACCTCTGCGCGTGTCGCCAGAAGGCCTGCTCGAAAGGCTCCACCATGTGAGGCAGGCCATGCCGCTTTGCACACTTCTCGACGTCGGGAACAGTGAGATGCAAGTGCTCGTCCGGCATCTTGGGGGTAATGTGATGCTCGATGTGGTGCGATGTCGGCACGAAGGGCTCCTCGAATAGCAGGCGCAGCGGCTAGCTCATCGTGTGGCACAATTGGGTGGGAGATTTTGTGATCTCCACTGTGTGCGGCACACCCGTCTGGATGTGGTTGGAGAGAAACGTCGGGTGAATGCTCGAGGAATCGAACCAAGCTGCAAGCAGCCATCGTCCCAACTTCCGTAGCCCGACGCTACATGTGTTGTTGTTGCTGCACTGGTATGATTTCACAATATCCGAACATACGCCGCCGAAGCCAACAAGGCGTAGTGAGACATTATCGCCATCTTGCGCAAAAGCACCCATCCCGGGCTGAAAACAACTTCTGCATGCCTCGGTACGGAACAATCGAGATGTACGGCTCTCCGAGGAAGAGAAACGCTGGAAACCACCAGGCCTCCCGGAAGCGCAGCGGTAACCCTCCCAAGGAGAGGCTCTGGGGAATCGTCGCGAACAGATCGTCCTCGCAGGCGCAGATGGGGAGCAACTCGCCCGTCGGCACCTGTGGGTCAAGCTTGCTCATCGCGTACCGCCGGTGCAGCTGATGTTGCCATTTCCATCGCCAGCTGTCGCTGCAGCAACGGTCGCTGCTGACACACACTTTGCCGACGAGGCGCACGTCGGATGGCCACAGTTCGGGTCTGAACACGCTCGCCCCGTGCCCCATCTGGTGCGCGTGCTTCAAGTCAGTGAGCTGGGCGAGGCCGACGCAGCCGCCGCCAGACAGCGGTCGACGCCTGCTGGTTCCCGCGAAGCTCGCCACCGAAAGGGCGACGGTCAGCACCTCGAAGAGCACGGCCGAAACGCTGCCCTCGTAGAGCCCCTCGGCAGGCCACCTGTGGTCGAGCTCTTGGAGGTCGCGGTCGAACGCCTCGATCGCGCTGGCGTTCATCTTCGAAGACATCTTTGGATGCATGGGGGCATATTAGAACCATATCTGGGCCGTCGTGGACGCTCTGGCCCTTCGAAGCGTGTAGTTAAGCACGAGGTTCGCCATGTTTCTCCATCTCCCTCTCTCCAGGTTCAATACCTGGCTCAAGCCTTTGAGCTCAAACATTTGCCGATTCCGGACGAGAGCCTGTACTTATTCGCCGTTGCGCGCGCCTTCACGTTGCTTGCTCTGAAAATCGTCGGGTTAGGTTGGATGGCGTACCGCGAGTGCTGCGGCGCAAGATGTCCAAGTTGGTTCAATATGCTCTCCAGCACGCCTCCAAGATGCATAAAGTCTGCCCCAATACAGCCCGAGGTGGCCACTGAATCTCTCCAGGATGCCCCTGAGAGACCTATCAGATTTTAGCGCTACGTCTGTTATATATATATATATATATATATGTTTTTTACCTTCTCGCTACTTCGATTCCGATGGGCCTCCGCGGCCTCGAGATGGACCCAATTCCACTGCTCAGAGCAGGGACCAGCACAATATCCATGGGGCACCGAGTGCTCCCACGAGCACCCCCGGATCGTCCTACAATGGCTCCGATAAGAGTTGTCTAGGTCCGGCAAGAGGTAACACTCGGGGGCGGCCAAGAAGGGGGGGCGCAACTCATGGCTGGCGACATGTGCGCGTCCCAGGAGGGGCCGGGGATGCATTGAAATAAGAAGAGCCGCTATGAAACCTTGGGAAAGATCATGGTCCACGCCATGATATCCACACCCCCCTAGTCCTCACCCCCCTTCTCGGCCACCCCTGAAAAAGGCAACGCCATTTCGGACAGCCTTCTTTGGTGGCTGGGGTCCTCCAGGATGGTCCCGACTGGACGCCGAGTTCGCAATTTATAGGGTCTGTTCGGGCTGATCAGGTTTCGCCTCTCTCGGCTGCACGCTCTTACCCACTACCCTTTCCAAGGCAGCTCGTTTGCAGATCGCACGCGATGCGTCACTGAGGCCACTCACGCTGTTCAAGGTTGGAAACCAAAAAGAACGTACGCGCCCAGCCACGCACGTGAATATGCCCTGGAATTCGCGATGCTGGCCTAATGCTGCGAATGCTCGCGTAATGAATTCGCTCGAAACCCATGTGAATTCACGTGCGCGTACGTCTGTACTGAACTTCTGAAATGCCGAAACCTTTCCCGCTCTTCAAGGTCTCCCTCCACTGCAGCTGGCAACGTCAGGCGGCAGGTGTACACTTCACGGCTTCGGCTCGGACTCTTTCGACGCAAACGTGCTTCCAGATATGCTGGTGCACACCGCTAGCCTTTTTGTTCGGAGCTGTGGCCCAGAGCTGGAGGAGAAACACTGGTATGAACTGTACAAGTTGGTTAGATAAGTGACACATGTGTAACTATGTATATGGCTTATATAGTTTTGCATATGGGAGTCGTTACACTTATATGCAATTATCCGTACATATACACACTTCATATACATCTACACGCATATATACATCTATGGTATAGTAGATCGATGCATGCACACACACACACATATATATATATATATATGTATGTACGTACACACGCATACATAGACATGCATGTATATACATATATGTATATGCACACATACATGTATATGTATACATACATATATGGATACAATCATGTATGCACAGTTATCGATCTACATATGTGCATGTGTATTTGGAATGGCATATAACCACACATACATATGTATGTATATACATCGGTTGATCTAGATAGATCGATGTGTGCCGTGGAGGCGCCCTCTTCTGCCTCGCTCGTCCCCCTGCCCCCGCGATCGCTCGCCAGTGGGTCGCTCCCCCGCTCGGCCCCGCAGCGTGGTACCTTGCCGCGAGGTCCCCCATCGGGGCCGCACGGCGGCCAGGTGTGCGAGGCCCCGTGGTTTGCGCGGGGGCTGCTGTTGCTGTTGTTTCGTCAGTATCGGCACCACCACACTTTGGCGCAGGCGATCTTCAGCGCAGAGGGGGAGGAGGAGGAGGAGGAGGAGGAGGAGGAGGTGGAGGAGGAGGAGGAGGTGGAGGAGGAGGAGGAGGAGGAGGAGGAGGAGGAGAAGCTGAGCGGATCTGAAGGCCAGTCCCCAGGCTGCACCTTCTGTGGGCTCTGAGAGGCACAAGACTCGCGGATCACCTCCTGCCCCCTCAATCCTGAGCCCCGTGGTTCGCGCGGGTGCTGTGTCTACAACAAGCGGGGCCGCGGCTGATCGAGGCGGCCCACGTGATGTGGCCACCACTCTGCTGGCACCGGCTGACGAGGCCTGCCAGGACGGGGCCCAGGACGGCTGCCGAGCCCCCCCCCCACCCCACAGCGTATCCACCGCCGTGCCTCGAGCACGCGGTGGTGTGCCCCAGGGCTCCAGAGAGGTTGTGCGTGGTGCAGGGGCTGCAAGGCCTTGAGCGAGGGGCAACGACATGGGGGGACTGGCTCAGGCAGGAGGGGGGATGGGAGAAGCAGCGCCACGACATCGAAGACACATCGCCGATGGATCGGCGTTAGGCCCCTGATGGTGAGACCGCACGATCCTGGGCGGGGTGGTCTGTCTGGCCCCTGCCGGCGATGCATGGGCGATCGGGGGCCGATACGTTCTCGCTGAGGCCCATTCCTTCCCACTATTGCCTTTGATTAGAAGGAACAAATGATGGCATAAACACCAACTTGCGCAAATCCACGCAGACTTCTTGGATCGGCGCTGCCCCTCATTCCTGGCTCGCGGAGCACGCCGGGGGCGGCGCCGGAGGCGCCGCCAGGGGGCCCCAGCGTCGATCCGAGAAATCCGTGCGGGCCTCGGAAAGTGTATGTTTATGCCATTCTCTCTCCGGCGGATTCAAGAGCCACGTTCGGCGACTCCGAAGGGTGTGCTTTGCAAAGGGTGTGGTTTGCACCGCGCAGCTTGGGGGCCGAGCGACCATCTCGACAGAAATCTCCGCCGCGCCCCGAGGAGGCCCGACGAGGGCAACGTGGTGCCCCCCAAGTCCCAGCCGACGCAGATCGCAAACCACAAACCGGCATAATCACACCCTTTGTTTTGGACGCCCGACGTAGGTGGTACGGGAAACAATCGCACAACAGCCAACAGCAAGTGTTGTCCAAAACCGACAGCGGCAGCTGTTGGGCAGCTGCTTTGTGTCTTCAGTGAACAACGTCCGCGGCGGCGCGGACGTCGAGGCCTGTTCAAAATTAACAGGAACTGCCGTTGGCGTGTATACGCCGTCTTTCCGTACCCATTTCGATCGTGCTGATTCGTAGTCGCCGACGCGCCCCGATCTCACAGCGCTCCCCGGGCGTGGCGCAACAGAACCTCTCGCAGGGGTCGGCCACTACCGGACAGCCTCCGGACCACTCGCCGAGTGGTCTCGGCCTCGGAGGCAGCGCCGAAGGGCCAGGTGCCCAGGGCCTGTCCTGGCATGCCCGAGTCGTGACGACCCCGGCGTTGGTTTCTGACCCAGGCGACGATCGCCGATCTATCGCCGAAGCATCGGCCAGGTCGGCGATGCATCGGCGTGTAGGAAAGTGGGCTCCACATCGGGCCGCATCGCCGACGCAGAGGCGATGCGGCGCGATCCGCCGACCCCGTGTACGGTGGGTTCGTGTCGTCCCGACCGCCGACCACGGCATTGACTTCGGACACCGCGTGGATCGTTCAACCTTCAACCATCGGCAGCTTAAGCCCTCACCTCCTCTTTGGCCTCCTCTGTTTAGCCATCACATCCTCTTTACTTTCCTTTGACACTGCTTGAAGCCGCCAGCTATTCGTTTCTTTGACCGAAAGGACAAGAAGAGGAGGGGTGCCCGACCACTGAACCTCACCGCGGCGTGACATGAAGCCTCCAGGGACTGGCAGGTCTATCTCGACAGACAGTGGTTGAAACGTGCTCACTCCGCATATCTTCAGTTCACTCTTGAGGAGTCTTCTTCTTGACGGTGGAGGCCAGTCCACAAGAAACCTTCCACAAGAAACCCACGCCAGAGACCCCAGGACGTCCATCGATTTGCGGTGTGGGCACGTCACGCGTCCCATCGCAAAACCATCGACACCCAGGAAACCCAGGGCACCCTGGAGGCGAGCAGAGGGTGTTTCTTGGCATGGGCCTCCTCCCCACTGGGCAGGGGGCCGCGCGGGGGGGCCTCCCAGGCACGCGCTGCGGCGTGCCCGCGGCGTGATGACCCCGGCGTTAGCTTCTGACACCGCGCGCATCGTTCGACCTCCAGCGATCGGCGGCTTCTCGATCCCCAGACACCTCCACGTTCACTCTTCAAATCCTCTGCTCCCTCTTCAAAGCTTCCTCTCCTCTCCCCTCCGGCCAACTCCGCCTACCTTGGGTGGCCGCACGGGGGAGAGGGGCTTTCAGGAGGACCAGGACGCCCCAGACCTCCGACGTCGCGATTTCTCCACAACGTCGACCCAAAAGAGATCTGGACCTATTCCCCGGGACCGAATCTTCACCCTGAGTCGTTTGTTGGCAGTCCCGAGGCCTGGTAAGGGCCCCCAGAGGCAGAAAATAGCCAACAACCTCCAGTCGCGATTCTCTCGCGACGCGAGGGGCTCTGGGGCGGGAGATTCGTTTTTTGGTACCTCCGCGAAGGAAAACGCTCGGATGGAAGGCCGCAGCGCGAGCCGAGGAGGCGAGGCTTAGGTCGGGCATGTGCTTCTACAGGCGGATTGTGGACGAAAAATGAGAATGGCCCAGAAATGCTCAAACAGATGCTAAACACATACTCAGAAAAGATCGTCCCCACCGACCGAGGGACATGCCCGACCGAGGCCGGGCCGCGAAGGCCGAGGCGAGCCGAGGGGCCGGAGGCGCCGCCAGGGGGGGCCCAGCGCGGGAGAGCCAAAAGCTGATGCTTATGTTTTTGCTGTGATGCCGTTTCTCCCTTTTCTCTCCTCCGATTCCACGAGGACGCGGACGCGAGGGAAACAACGCGAGGGAAACAACGCCGAGGGAAGCAGCGCCCTGAGATCGAAGGCCGCAGCGCGAGCCGCGAGGGGCGAGGCCGGGGCGCGCAGGTCGAGCCGCGAGGCGGGGCGGCGGCGGGCCCCGCCTCGCCGGGCCGGGCGCCAGGCGGCACGGGCACGCGGATGGGGCCGTGCGGGCCCTGCCCCGGCCCAGGGCGCGGCAGCGCAAGCCTCCTCCTCCTTCTCCACCACCTTCTCCTCCTCCTCCTCCTTTTCCTCCTCCTCGTCCTCCTCCTCCTCCTCGTCCTCGTCCTCCTCCTCGTCCTCTTCCTCCTCCTCCTCCTCCTCCTCCTCGTCCTCCTCCTCCTCCTCCTCCTCCTCCTCGTCGTCCTCCTCCTCGTCCTCCACCTCTTCTTCTGATTCTTGTTATGATAATCATGATTCGGCTTCTTCTTCTGCTTATCATTATTCGTATGATTGTTTCTTAGTGTGTTCATTACTATCATTGTTAGTATTACTATTCGTATGATTACTATTATTATCATTCGTATTAGGAAGATTGCTATTATCCTTCATAATTGTAGTATTAGTCTTATTGTTCTTCTTATGCTTCTTCTGATGATTCTTCTTCTCCAGTGTATCCGCCGGCCCCCTTGTGGGGCCACCAGGCTGCGAGGCGCGTGATTCGCAGTTTCCTGTACCAGTCGTAGGTTGTAGTTTCCAGTGTTACAGTTCTGCTTCTTGCTGGTTACTGTAACTAGTTGACTTCTTGCTGGTTACTGTAACTAGTTGATTGACCGCGCGAGGGGGGGGAGGCCCAAACAAGACTTTTAGCCTCACCTGGGCGCGTTGTCTGAATTGCTGGGGGGGCTCGAAATCGACACCCCTCACGCAGATCCGCGGGGTCAGGGTCCAAAAACACATGGGATTTGCCACATTTCTGAAATTCGGTGCCACCCCTCACGCAGATCCGCGGGGTCAGGGTCCACAAAACACA